ATTGGAATAAATTCCCTATCTTACAAAGAGTATATTCTTTGAAGATAGATAGATGTAGGTCCAGACTCTGATTTTTTTCACTGCTTAGTTTTGTGATTTTGGGAAACTCATTTACTTTTATTAACCTTGAATTTACTCATATGTAAACTGGATCTGTAAGACTACCTGGTTGTGATGCTTTGCTAAAATATATGGACACAGTATACAAAGTGAGAGACATAAATTGCATAGAAACTGGTAGGAATTAAAACCTTATTTGTTGTTATTCTAATTATAATTGCTTTAAAATGTAAGAGTACTTGGCAGGGCCCAGTGGCTCACGCCTATAATCCTAGCACTCTGGGAGGCCCAGGTGGGCAGATCATTTGAGCTCAGGAGTTCCATACCAGCCTGAGCAAGAGCAAGACTCTGTCTTTACCAAAAATAGAAAAAATCAACTGGGCATGGTGGCACATGCCTGTAGTCCCAGCTACTTGGGAGGCTGAGGCAGAAAGATTGCTTGAGCCCAGGAGTTTGAGGTTGCCATGAGCTAGGCTGATGCCACAGCACTCTAGCTGGGGCAATAGTGTGAGACTCTGTCCCCCCCCCCAAAAAAAAATGTAAGAGTACAATAATCCCAGAAATATCCAAATGGAATGACTAATAGGCAACATCAGTAGTTAAAGGCAAAAATACATTACAAATCAATAGGATTTTATTAATAACATTTAATCCATTTCCTTCATTTAATTCACCAAGATTATCAGGATAAGCAAGTAACCTTTACAAGGTCACCAGCCAGAAAGTGGCAGTTTTGACAAATGGAGAAAGCTCCCCTTATGAATTAAAAATGTCATTATTGGCTGCAAATAAATACATTGCAACTTCTCAATGAAGTCCTATTGAGTGAATTGTTATTTTTCTCTGGCCTTTTAGGTCACTTGACCCTTTTCCTATTTTCCTATTTCATGTCAATAATTAGTATTGTATATACAGGCCATATTTCAGTGGACAAGTCATATCTCAAAGTCTTTGGATTACCAACTAAAGGTCTTAGGAACATTTTAAATGGTATCACCTTACTTAGTTTTGTAACAAACAGACATTAAAAAGTGAAGCAATTCAGTAAAGGGAAACTGGGAGTCAATAAAGAAAGCAAATGAAATTGTGCAGAGGAGCAGAGAAAAAAAGAAAATTGCAACGTAGAAGACAGCAATTCATTAGAATAAGAATAAAGGGGAGAGAGTGAGGTTATTCACACGGAAACTAATGTTCTCAATAATTTTTGACTCTTGTGTGGAAATTACTAAGTTAATGTTTAGTTTATATTTGCCAACTGTGGAAGTACCAGTCTAGTTTGGAGATAGGAGGCAATGTGAAGAGAAAGGGAAGAGAGTTCATATGTACCGTCAAAGATGAGCCAATCAACAAAAGATCATTAGGACTCTTCCAAATGAACATGATAGTGTTTCCTTTACTTCTGCTGACTGTAAATGCCACAAAAAGTTTCCTGCTGAAAAACATCAGCCTGTTCTTTGTTTATTTATAATATTACCTATTGATTGGGTTTGTGCATATGCTTCAGGTAACTCAAGGTATAATGCATCTCTTTATGTGAAGAGCCTATGAATATGATTGACATCTGCATATATCTCAGATGAAATTCTGCATATGATGAAAGGGCTAGAATAAGAGTTTTGATTCCTCTCTCAAGGCTATATCTGTGTGAACCTAATATGTAGCAACAAACTTAGATAAGATGCGTGGAGATTGTTCAAAGTGATTTACTGGTCAAAATTAAGGCTCTTTATAGTCATGTAACATATGTTTATTGTTAACAATAAAGTAATGACCCCATATAGGTCTCACAAATTTTTCTGATCCTCTGAATGTAAGTTCTGCCATTATAATAGTCTTTCAATATGCCCCATATTTGAAGAATCTCCTCAGTGAGATATTTAGCTGTTGTTTTGTTTGGAACTATATACATATATATCTCAATTATTGTTTTATACTAAAGCCTGTGAGGCCTGGAAGGTTGAATAACCTGACAGCTATTTGAAAGCTGTGGCCAAGCTAAGACTAGAACTTCTTAGCTCTTATAACTCCTGGTTTTACTTTAACCAACTATCAAGCCACATTGCTTCTCCTTGTATCAAAGGAGTTGACATTATATGTAAAGTGATTTTTCATTTAACGGTGGCCTATCATATCTACATTTGAAATTAACTAATTGCCTCAGGGTAAACCCAAAGGAAGAGTTGTAGCTATTTAATATCCTAAAAATCTGCAATGGGTGAATTTCTGGAGTTTTTATTACTGGTAGGTGATTTTGTTCTCTGCACAGATTCATGATATCTGTACTGTAGCTGGTCCTTCTAACCTGTCTTTATTTTAATTTTGTTTAACTAAGAACTTATCTATAATCAGGTAAGCATTCATTTTTCTCTTGGGGATAAAAACTCAAGTTTTGGTCAGATTATGAAAAAATTAAATGCTCACGCACATACACAAACCCATCGTAACAACAAATTGTTATAAGAAGAATAAAAACAATTAAAAGTTATTTATGCCTGAACAAAGTCCACATATTGAACTATATACCCTGGGACATCTTGGGTCAATAATCCATTTTCAAGGATACCATCATAAATGACATGAGATAGTATTTCAAAATATAGAAAAAATAATCTTGAAAAATTTTTCCAACTAAACTTAAAAATGACTATTTGAAAGGAATTTGTTATTACTAGATATATGCATATAAATGCATATTTCAGATAAATAATAAATCCAAGCCTTATATTTAATGAATAAAGAGTGTGGTCAGTAGAATTCTGAAGGAATTGTGGAATGTTAGTGCTTTTTTCTTAGAGGTTCTGCATCATAGGTTTTGAAGACCACCGATAGGTACTGAGTTCAGACGTAATTTTTCTGTTGCTATCCTATTGTTCCCTGAATTAATACATTTTGTAGAGCATAGTAACCATTTATGATCATTTTTTAAGAACATTGACCCCAAATATTTAGCAAGCAGCATGTATTTAATTGAAATGTTGATTGGAAAGGGGAAATTAAACTGCCACTTGTGAAATACTAAAGCTCATTATCACAAAGTTTCATTTGAAATGTTTAGAGTTAGCTTTATTATTGCATCAGTAATGATAAGCATGAGTCTTAAATCCATGTCATTTGTGTTTTATGAGGATTATTAAAACATATTAACTATAATTCAATTAATTTACAGAAAATGCCATATTACAATTTTTTTTCCTGCCTTAAGTAAAGGTGCTACATGAAGAAGCTCAAACCATTCCATTTCCATTTAACCTTTATTCCTCACCCCCACCTTTGTGGCTCTTTAAAGTACTCACTCCTCAGATAGGTAAATGTGCTAAAGGGAAAACACGGCTAGTTTGCTACCACACCTTTGCATCATCAGGACAATACTGACCTCTAGTGTTCTAGAAAGTAGAGAAACCAGCTCAGCACCATGTCTAACTTCCTCCTAACCACTTAGATCTCTTTCTACAGCACCATGGGAACAATTTTACAGAAGGAGCAAAAGGAGGAGAAGAAGAAAAAGAAAAAAAGTCATATATAAGATTCTTACTTGCCCCTATATATAACCTGAATAATTTCTAAACTTAGGCTCCTTGGATCCTCCCTTAGAAAAGTTGACTTCTTCACCATCCTTTAGTATGCAAACTTTAATAAAATCTTTATAAAACATAACGAGTAACTATAAATACTGGATCTCCAAAACTTCTGATCACAGATAAAAACACTGTCTCTGTTTTATACTGTTTTAGGTACACAGCATTTGTTTCATTGACATCCCTTGAGGTATAACTCTGGGAAGAGATATTCAAGATCCTCTTGGACCTAAGTGGGTGGGGGGAAAGGTAGAAACACTTCTAAGTTGTAAGTAGTCCCCATCTTTCTATAACAGTGATATTGCAGATTTAAAAAATAAAAAATAAAACTGTTGCAATATGGGTAATATTTCTGAGGTTCATGACAGGGACAGGGGATAAGGGAGCAAGCCCAGAAACTTGAGGGACCTTGACAAAGCATCTTTGGGAACAACACAGATGGATTAATTGCATTCTTTCTCATTTAGGAGTTCCCAGAGCTGGAATAACTTCCTTTCCTCTGCCTAGAGAGGCAGCTGAGCCATTGAGCTTGAACCTCTGATCGCTCCAGAGATTTATTCAAGTTTGACAAACTGGATTCTTTAAATACATAGTGCAGGTGGTGGATCACCGGGTGTCCAGCTTTCCTGCCTATTAAATTAAATGCCCTGCACTTGCTGAGGTTAGAGCTTCGACGACAGAGTGTACACTTAGTGCATACTCATTATGTGTTATGTTCCTTGGCACAGAGATTTTGGGGGTGGGGTATGCATAGAAGCTCTTCCTCCTGTAAAAGGGGCAGCCATTGATCTTGTGGTTGACTACATTGGGCTATGACTCTTAGGCCAAAATTCTGAATCCTGTTAAACCGGTGCGCATTGGTTGCAAGATATCCCAACTGGAGCCTTCTGCCGAGGGCAGAGCGCAAAGCCACGTACTGTGGGGCGCTAGGCATACTGCAAATCCGAGGCACTGCATTTGGGGATGAGCCGCTGTCACCAGCACGGTGGCTGAGAGCAGCTCTATCCCTGGAAGCTCAGCTCCCAGAACATACTGTCTAAAGCCCGGGCCCTTCTTGCGAAACGCCCTGGCCGAGATCAGGCAGGCATAGAACGTGCAGCTAGCAGGAGGCTAAGAGAAGAGAACCTTTCCTTCTCCCGGAACTTTGCGATTCCTAGATAAAAGCAGGAAATCCAGCAGGGCTGGATCATCTGAGCTCTGCTAACTTTTGAGATGGTTGGACTGATGGAACCACACTGATGAGCATTTTTTCCCCTTTCCTTCTGCCCAGAGAAGATACAATTGAGAACGCCTGGACAGTTGATTGTCTTTCTAAATGCTACCATTCCCCACCTTACCTACCCGCCCCCAGCTCCTGGTACTCACAATTTGTCGCTGTTAATCCCAAATGCCACAAGCCAGAGAACAGCAAAGTCAAAACGCTGGTCAGCCGTGGTACAGAATCCATTTCCCCAGAGTGAGCGGTCCCTCCCAATCGAATCCGAAATTCGCAGGCGCCGGCCGCGGCTTCTTCTCTCTCTTTCTCTCCTCTGCGCCGCCTGACCCCCTCCCACCCCCCTTCGGAGAGGCACTCGCTCTTTCACTCCATCCCGCGCCCAGGCACTCCACAGAAACCGTGGCGGGGGCTTCTCGGGAGCTGCGGCTCAGGCTACCGTCCCCGCACCAGCCGCTCGCTGTACGCGCCTTCCTCGCCCGCCTCTTCTTCCTCTTCCTCCCTCCTTGGAGGTGCAAATCCAAACCCGATTACAAGGACGGCGCCGAGCTCGGTGGACAGCCGAATCCAGCTCGCCAGGCGCGAGAGCTGGAATCAGCACCCGGGTGGCGGACAGCTCCTTATAGGCGAGCGGGCCGCGCGGCGCCGCCCCCGGCCAGGCCCGCCCCGCGCTCGCCTATAAGAGCGGCCTGGGCGGGTCTTTGCCTCGCTCCGGCGCCTTTCCTCGCGGCCGCCGAGCCTCTGCGGTGCGCTCGGGCTACCTGGGAGGGAAAGGGAAAGGGAAAGCAAATCTCTCGCTCTCGATCCTGTCTCCTCCCTTCCCCCCAATTTGGAGTACAGGTATTAAAATTTAAACCAGATTTTCGAAGAGCGCTGCTGAAAGGATGCTAAAAGGAGTTGCAAGACAGATCGCATTAGGAAGAGGGAATTTCCTATGGAAAGCTTTATAAAGAGCTGGCGAGATGCGTAGCCCCTCCTTTGGAGGAGAGGGAGAAATAGGGCTTGAATTACGGTATTTAATTTCCCCTGCGTTCGTTCCCTAATAGGGAAGGCTGATGGGTCTTGATATTATTGGGATGTCTGGTTTAGCGGTTTAAATACGTGCGCTCCCCCGCCTCCAGACTCCCGCGCCCCACTTCCATCGCTCATCCTGCACCGGCCTTGGCGTCTGCTCCTCCCTCCCGCTGCTGGCTCCTCGCTTGGGCCAAGTACTGCAAGGCGCTTGGTGCTTTGGGTTCCAGAACCCAGGTGGTTTCTTGGCGCTTGAGAGGGATCAAAAGAGGAGAGAAATGGGTGTGGTAATGATGAGAGTCAGGGTGAAGCTCGAGTTGGCTCCAGAGTCAAAATCCTAGGGCTCCTCTGGAGGGATTTAAATTTAAAAAGAGTGGTTTGGGGTTCTTCCTGGTGGTTCCTTATGGCAAGCCTTGCTGTTGCTTTTGGCTTCTAGTATATATCTGGGGACTCTCCTGCTTTACCATAAATCAACTTATTTTGTTTTTATTGGAAGCTGTCAGAAAGCTGCCAAACCTTAACAAAATGAGGGACCACAATGATTTCTCCTATGTGAAGCTCACAATGAAGTTAGGGCTGATAGACTCTACCCACTTCGGAGGAAGTTGATGTCTCCCTCTTCCTCCCCCCCCCAGGCAGCAATTATACAGGCTTATTTTACACTATAGATTCCTGACAACCCTGGGTCTTCAGCTGCAGTCTCACAGCTACGGCAGACTGAGCTAGGTTTCAGGCAGCTTCTGCTAAGGTTAAGCCTGTGGTTTTGGTTAGAGCTAGACTCACATCTTTGGAATACTAAAAGATAGTTAAATGACACACGGATTGGTGACCCCATTACTTTATTAAAGAAGAAAGAATCTGAGGGCCCCATCACTTGTAAGTAAATGACCATCTTTTCTCTGAGCTTCTAACAGAAAATAATTATGTAAGTTGCTGGATTCTTGGACAACTGGAAGACCTCACCAGCAAAAGCTTTAGCTGCTGGGGAGAGGCCACACCCGGAGGATGGCAAATCTCAAAATATCAAAGCAGAGGTGACCTAAGAGCTTACTTATAGGCAGGGGGCCAGGGGGGCAGGTTGAGGTTCAAAGTCCAGCTGCTTGGGCTTTTCAAAGGAACTGATACCCAGCCCTTAACCTTTGAGGATTACAGTTTGAAATACACCTATCTGGCCAGTTTATTCTTACTAGAACTTCTGGAGGAAGCATGCTGGACTATTATCCAGCTTTGTGTGTTCTAAGTGTATGTAAACACTTAGATATTTTTAAAAGAAATAAAATATTACATATATAATTTAATCCCCTTTCACATTCTTGTCTGATCCCATTTATCTCTCATCATACCTAGAAGTAAACACTTTACTGATTTGGTCTATATCATTCTAATACATAATCTTTTGTAATTTTACCACACATATCTACAACCATAAACAAGATGTAGTATTGCTTTGTCCTTAACCAGTGGTATCATACTGTTTCATTTTGTGCTCTGCAATTTACTTAATGTTATGTTTTTGAATTTTATGCATTTAGATACATGAAATCCTACCTCTTTCATTTTAACTATTCTGTTGTATTTCATTTTATGAATATGTTAATATTTACTCATTAATTCTACTCTTATGAATCTAAAGATTGTGTCCAAGGATTGTTTTTTTTTCCCTAAAAAAATGCAATCTTATACCTATCTTTTAGATTTTTCTCACATATGTATTTAGGAGTAGAATTTTTGGATCATTGGAAATGCTTATCTTTAGCTTTACTAGGTATTGCCAGCTATTCTATAAAATGATGGTACCAATTCACACCTCTCCTCCCCCCACTAGCAGTGTGATATTTCCCTTAGATCCACATCCTTTCCAATATGTCAAGACCTCTCTTTTCACAAATAGGGAAATGATAGCCAGAGAACACAGGTCTTTAGTCAGTGAGCTCAATATTCTACTATATCATTCTACCTTATATATCTCTCTAAAAAATGTTTAGTTAAATAAAATTGAAAAATGATAAAAGATGCTGGCTTCATTTTCTGGCAGAATGACTTAAAATGAATCATCTGGGCCAGTAAAATATGTTTGAAATATATATTAAAAGGCAATCAGGGAAATTTGTTGCCATGAAGCCCCCAAACTGTGAATGATATTCAAGTTATTAGTAAATATTAGAACCTTGTGTTTAGATGTTCATATGCAGACCCAGTGTATAGTATATAAATGGAGCCTAATTTAAAGTTCTATTTACAGTTGTAGCTTTCTTCTCTTTCTTAAACACACCTGTTCACAGAACAACTTTGAGCCTTAAATGGCAGACATTTGTCTAAGATTTGTTAACATTTTAGTAAGAATACTGCGGCTCTGAATGTAGTGAGGGGTAAAACAGCTGTTCCCCTCAGACAATAGTGTAAACAATGCCATCTTCTGGGGGCAGTTTGCCAGCAAGTTTTTATTAGCCGTAGAATATTAATCACTATTAAAACTGTTTTCAGCCAGATTGATATTTACCTATTGAAATTATTTTGTAAAGCTTTTAGTCTGATAGATCCACTTTTAAAATGGTGGAATGGAAGCTGAATAATCTCTTTCCTTCTCATCTTGCTCCGTATAACTCATATTTGCTGACCACTTTTTTTTTTTTTTGGGGTGGCTTAAAAGTTTTTTTTGGATAGAGCAGGTTAAACACTAAGAGGGAATGGGGGAAAATGGATAATTGAAATGCTAAAATGTCTGTATTTTTAAAATGATAAATCTGGATGTCCTCTCACACCAAACTTATATCTGAAATCTTAATAAAAAAAAAAAGAAATGGATAGGATTTTATTTCCTTAGCTCTTTGATTTTCCCTTGAGCACTCCCACTTCTTTCCCCTTAATGGAACAGAAGGGAAAGAATCACTCATTAAATGGAAACATAGCATTCAAATATTCAACAAGTGGTTCATCTCATTGATTTTGTAATTTTCCTGTGAGGCACAAGAAGCACGTTCGGTCATCTCCATTTTATTGGTGGGATCCTAAGAGAAGAAATATATTGACCTGTTAAAAATCACACAGAATTACTGTCCCCAACCCATAGGGCACTGAAAATGAAAACATTGAACCCCATTTCTTTTATCCTTAGAAAGTTTATAGGTAAAAGTCACTATAACATATGAATACCTTGGATGTATTGGAAAAAAGTCCACATATAATCACAGTAGGCTACTCTGTTTTGAATATCATTACTTATAGATTATTTTGACTTCACATGTTGTTTGTTGTAATAATTGAAGGATAATTTCTGTTGCAACCCATATCTTCAAAATAGAGTTTTTCAAAATATTGATGTGGCAGAAAATTGAGTTAATTTTTATTCCTTTATCCTTTCTTTTCTTTATGTTTTCATTTGCTTTTTTCCATTCTTATTTCTTTCTTTATGGTATGTGGATTGTAACATGGTGTACATGTACAGGGTGTGGGAATTAGAAAAGAAATCTCTGCTTCTAGAGCTAGAAATTATTTAGGAAAATGAGATGTGAATACATTAAAAAGTTAAATTAACAAATGATGTGAATTAGCATGTGATTATTTGCCAAATGTCTCAAATTATAAGTGCTGAAGGAGTTTTTAAGTTGACAAAAATTGTTTCCTTTGGGAAAGAAAAGTTGCAATTGCATAATGAATCAGTTCTTTGTCTCTTTGGGGGAACAGGATTTGAGTCACTGTCAGCTATGAAGCTTGTTATTCATATCAAGTCAAGTCAGGTGTATTTGCCTTAACAAGAAAGTCAAGTCTTGGATCATGAAGGCAGAATTCTGCTTGTGTAGAAGAGCGGATGTTCCGATTAAGACTCAAGGACTTTAGCCACATGTTGAGGAAAACCCACTTTAGCCTTTCCCTACTTCTGTCTTCTATTTCTTACTCAGATTCAATCTTGTCAACACAATACCTATCATCGACATCAAAACTAGTCATCCTCTATCTTCACCTCCTGCCAATAGAGAAACTATTTGAATACCTTTGCCTGGCATAATACTGTTTGCAAATACTGCTCTTTCTTCATTCTTTTCCTTTCCACTGGCAACTTTTCAAATCCAAACTCAGCTAACAACTCTATTTTGAGATCTCTGTTGATTATTGTATAATGTTTCTGTTCATATATCTGTTTCCCTAACTCTGAGTAGTTCCTCAAGTGTAGTTTCTTGATGAACATTTAACTTTGAGTCTTCAGCATACACTGTAAGTTTTCAAGCAATGTCTGATGTCTGATTAAGGTTAGATATGAAAGGGCCTTGTCAGCTTTTTCACAGGGTATGATCATCCCTGCTCCACTCCTTGCCCCAGAATGCAGAGGCTCTTTTCAGGTCATCTATCCTAATTTACTTTGGGAATCGAGTTGTCAACTATATAAAAAACTAATGGAAATGCAATTTGGAATAATATCCCGGTAGTTAATTTTTCTAGCCATATATTTCTCAAATATTTAAATTTATTTTTGGGACAGAGTTTAAAGCCTAAAGTATCTGTATAATTACATTTACACAAACCCAGCCATGCCACATCCACAAACATATGTCCAAAAGGATCTTTCTTCTTACTTATTTCTGTCTCTCTCTAAAGAAACTCCTG